TATTGACCAAATTAGCAAATCTTAAATGAGAGTCAAATATTGTTAAAATGATACGTGTTTTGAATCAGGAGAACTAAATGATACACACACAGGTAACAGAAATGAACTATGTTCACTCTAGTATCTACATTTGGATGCTGAGACCCCTTGTAAGTGTCAGTGGAAGAAATTTGTCACTGTTTTTGTGCACATGTATGTTGTATGACAACTAAGGAAGAGGCCCACAAATGTTACAGGTTTTTGAGTGTATCCTTTGAATTTTAGACCCATTAGAGGAAAGCCTCCTCCCTTTCATAAATATTTTAAAGAAAAAATATTCAGAAACTAAAGTATCCATCTAAAATACGTACAAGCAGAAAGCTGTCTTTGTCACAGGACAAAAGTATCGAAAGTCTATGCTCATGATGTTAATGACAGAAAACTCACACCAAAGTTGGTATCCACTAACTTCTACCTCATTAAAACAACCTGCTGATCATGAGAAGTTACGTTCTAACAAGTCTTCCTTCTATTGTATAGACTAATACCCCCACCATGCACGTTTTTTGTTATTTTCTAATAAAGTGATAGACTCCATATTTGTGGGAAATCTATGCATTTATCTTTACTTTTATTTTTCCTAAACTCTTTTTCTTTATTCCATTTCACATAGAAATCTACAGGTATAAAGACATAAAGTTGGCAAATTTTTATATCTTTTAAAATATCTTAATATTTAAATAAGATGGTTAGTCCCCTTGCAATATGTTCTTTAGGCATTCCCGGACAAACTCAGCTATACAGTTTCCAGGCCTACAAAATGGAAACTCTACTATTCTGCTTATGTTTTCACTTAGAATAAGAGTGAATATAAACAGTGAATATATAAACTGGAACTGAAGGTAATAAACTTATTAAAACTTAGTAAGATACTGTTATGGTCAAAGAAAAGCTGCAATGTGTGCCACAAATCCACTCAGATGAAACATCTCATTCAATAGAATTTCTTATCTTATAATAATGCACAGAAAATTAAACACATAAATATTAATTTTATGTATCACAGAAAATGTAGGCAATGAAAATGCAATGTTTACATTTATGGGTGACTCATTAGTGTTTTATTGTGTGAAACACTAGGAGGCATCAGTTGGGTAAAAAAGGACTTCAATTTTTAAAGAAGCAAGAAATTACTGTAGAGTGGATGTGTAAGAAGTTGGGGTTTTCAAAATGTTATTATGTAAACCAAAACTTGATTCTCTGAAATAAACTCTCAAAACATCATATTTTGTTGTAAAGAATAATCTGTACATCACATTCATGAAATACATATAATTTGACCAATAAACACCTATCAAGATATATTTTAAATGTATAGATTCATAACTATGTAATTATACATTTTTATGAAGAATATATTTGGGAACAGAATAACATAATGGCTATTGACTACTATGCATTTTCTGCTCAGTTATTCAATACCATGAGTGTAGGTTTTATTTCTGGCAAATTCTATTTTGTGCTCTCTAGAACGCCCCTGAAAATGCCTACTGCATTTAAACCTTATGATAACTGCTTCACATAAGCAGCCAAAACTTGGTGTGTGTTCATAAAGAAGTGATGGAACTTAAAAATTTAAGCGATGAAGGTATATATGTATATATACACACAAAGGATATGTTTTCTCTTACTTCCCTACTGAAAGCCTGTCACTTGAAAACTGAGTTTTCTATTGTTTGAATGGCTCTTCATAACGATGAAGCAACAGGGTTGTGGTATACTTATCTGGCAATCATTTGAAATTGGAGTGTCTTGCCATTCCTCAACAATCAGCTTTTATCTTTGACCTATCAAAATAACATGTGAACTGCGTAATCCGCCTTTTGTAAGGTGCACAGACTCTGTTGTTGCTCCTGGTTTTGTGAATTGCCTCTGTAATCTGGTTTGATTTCCTAAAGATGACAGATCTCGGTGAACAGTCAGGCTTTACTGAGTGCAGGGCAGTCCACGCGCCCATGAGATTAAGGTACAGTGCTGAGGTCGGGGAGCTTAATCACCTATCCTTCCACATGCAGCACACAGAGTGGACATCAGTGATTAAATCTTTTCATTGTGTCCAGGCAATCATTATATTCATAAAATGAATATGTGCATTTTTATAAATTTTAGATATTAATCTGCCTGGTGTGTTCTCTGAGGATGTGCTTTTGAAAAAAAGTAGAACTTTAGTGATAATCTCTCTAAAGTCTATTCTGTAACCCTTAATTGCATAGGAAATTCTCCCATATTGTTTTGAATCATGTCCCTGAAGCCAGGGTTCTCTGTTTAATAACTATTTTTTTTTTTTTTTGGTGATTATGTAGCACTAGTGCTATTGCACAGATATTTCCCCATTTTTGTTACTTTCTGAGATTTCATAGACTCAAAATATACCGCATGCAGCATTGGGAAATAAAACCACAAAACATTCTACAATAAACAGAAGAAACTTTTGAAATATAATGTTAACATATGCCAAGGAGTTATTTAGCTTAGCGCTTTATAAAAGAAATATAATGCAATAAATCATTTATTGGAAAGATATGGTTGTACTGTTATTCAATCTATTGACTCGGTATAAAAGTGAGGGCCAAGGAAGAAATACATAGAAATCTGAAAAATATAAAACATGATGTCTTTTCAGTATTCAATTTTGAATTAACAAACAGTCCATTTCACTATAGGAATAAACTATTTCAAATTCTGAAAACCGAGTATGTTTATAAAGAAGAAAAGGGGAAAGGTGCAGTAAAGTCCTTGTTATTTAAATTTCATGTATTTAATGTTACATGCTTCTATTTTGAAAAGTTAATGATATATGTGATTGTATACTTTCAAAGTATGAACAGCTCTGAAAAGGTAAAAAATTGACTTTTTAATAGAAGGTGCTCATTGTTTTTTAAACCTAAGAAACCAATTAATATTTAATAAAAGTTAGCTCTTTAATATTGTCTTTGACATGCATACACGGAAGTCAGAATGTAAATCGCGTAATTAATGAGTAAAGGAAAATACTGTTTTTTGTAAGAAGTCTGGAAAATATGTCACAAATACTCCAAAGCTTTGTGAATTACATTATCAAATAACCGTAAATTTTTATAAAGTTTAGTAAAACTTGAAGCAAAGATAACTGCCAACTATTGTCTCCTTAACATGACTGGGGAATCATATTTTAAACATTGAATTTAAAGTGTGCTTTGACGAAAACTTTTAAAATTGAGTTTGTACTCTACTACATAGCCAAATGTACTTTCCAACAAATAAATTGAGATTTTTGATTTAGAGATTATTTTTCCTCTTGAGATGGGATATTAGATAGGCATATCTCATTTTACCTGTCAAGTTCTGAATCTACTTGCTTTAAACTACTTCTTTTAATTTAATAATTTTATGCATACACGGGGAGACAAAATATGGTTTATTAACTGCATTATATTTAACTGAAACTGATGGAAAAACAAAAAATACTGCTTGTGTCAGATTGGTACATACTGAGCATTTTCAAAGACTAGCCAAAACTGGTATTATTTTAAAAGTGAAGTAAGATGTTTCAGTTTCAAATTGGAGAATTGGAGATTGTTAATCTATTTAAAGCTAAACTTAGTATGCAATACAGAGGTTAAACGGGGTTCACAGGTGGTCACATTTCCATGTCCTTCCAAGTCTCTAGGGATTGGAGTTATTATACTCTATATAAACATCTTTACCCTGCAACCACAATTCCACTGCAAGGTGCCAGTGAAAAAGAGGCTGGTCACTTTTTTGGACTGATATAATGAGGTGGCTGGAGTTCCCTTTATAGCACTTAGAAAATATATGCAGTCACTAACCATTTCACAAGACAGTGACTATTAGAGTTAGTATCAGATTCACAATAGTAAAATGCAGTTTGTGTCAAAGCAATTCTCCACTGAGGACCAGTTAAAGAACTGGCAGAGAGCCTGATTCTACCTATTATACTGTCAGCATTTACATATAAAGGTATTTTATACAAAAGACACACATTCCTACATTGTGAAGAAAAGAGCTTTTTCCAAAAAATGGTAACTACTGGACCTAGAATAGTTGGAAATGTTTCAGATATAAAATTTCCTTTAAGAATTAATAGCCATATTCTGGGAAGAAGATAACATTAGTATTAAATTTAAATCCTTGCCTAGCATTTAAATAATACAATAAACAATATGTTGTGTCTATATATATACTGCCTTTGTGCCAAACTTTATCACTGAGTTTGGTAACTTTCATCCAAAGTCCAAAGAGAAGGCAATTAAAGTGTCTTAACCTCGTTTCTTTTTAAATAGCTATGAATTTGACTTGACCTGAACAGCAATGCATATACTGAACCCCAATACGAATTGTGAAATGTAGACTACTGTGGCCAGGATATTACTTTTTGCCCACACCAACTGAGAAGCCCTCTATCAAGCCAGCACTTTGGTAAGGGAAGGAGATGCACAAAGGTATACTCTGACAGACTGCCATGCTTTAGCTCAAACTAATCCCAAGAATTAGTGGCTCAGAAGCATAACCCAAAGCAAATCAGAGTCATTGGGGGCACTCACAGGAGCATCTTTCTACAGTAAACTAGCGGCTAAATCTTAAGGCATGTACTTCAAGGTCACAGAACATTCTGTGAAATATTAAAATCGACCAGGCTCCACACACTCCACCATATCAAACATGCTAATGACGTGAACTAACTTCATGAAACTTTAAACACACTGGTGTGGCAAGAACGAGTCAGGAGTGATTTCAATAACTGATAGCAAACGGATAAGACTATCTAAAAAGTTACTTTCAGCAACAGACCAGGAAATCACGGAATTAAGAAAAAAAAAAAAAGAATGCACAACAAACCTCAACTTCAGCCTTCAAAAAGGCACAGGAATAGACCCAGTGCGGTGGAATATACTGATGCAGATTTCAGAGACAATACCCAGGCTATTTCCATTTCCTCGAGAAATGTCAGAGGTACTTACATGAAGGAAGACCCGATCAGATTAGTCCTTGGGATATTTTCCTTTCTTAAGAGAGAGAGAGAGAAAAAAAAAACAAAAAACACAACAATAATCTTTACTTCGTCCAGCCTTGAAGTGTTTTTCCACCTGATTCAAACATGCAGCCACGGCGACCCACACAGAACCTTCAAAGTCAATCCAATAGCAGCCTGAAGATGTCTGGGTGTACGCGTGTGCTCAAGTGTCTGTGACTGAGAGCAGAACGAGCAGAGAGCTGGAGACGAAGTGTGTGCGCGCGCGGAGGGAGCGCGCGCGGGGGAGGCGCGCTCGGGGCCGCGCATTCGCGCGCGCCGAGGCCGCTCGGAAGAGGAGGAGGAGGAGAAGGAGGAGGAGGAAGAGGAGGAGGAAAAGAAGGAGGAAGAGGAGGAGGAGGAGGAGGAAGAGGAGGAGGAGGAGAAAGTAGCTCTCAGCAGCCGGCCAGATTAAAAGTAACCAGACTCGTCCAGAAAACTGCGTCCAGGAAGGAAGTGACAGAAGACGAATGGGAAAAGGAGAGCCGCTCGCAGCCTTTGAAACATCGCGTAAAAAAGGCGGGGGGGGGGGGGGGGGGGGGCGGGGGGGGAAGGATATTGAGAGGGGAGGCGGGGGTGGCAGGGAAAACGGAGCAGACGGGCTTGGGGTTCTAAGCGGCACGTCCTAAGAAGTGCCTCTTGCCTTCTTTTTTTCCCTTTATTTTGTCCTTGCCCTTGCCTTTGCCTCCGCCTCGCGCTGCCTTTTCCTCTCCGTCTCTCTCTCCCTCACAATCCCAAACCGTTGACTCTCTCCTCGCGAGCTAGAGAAATCATCAGTTTCACTCTCGCAAAAGGGGGGCGGGACTAGACCTCGGAGCATTTTAATAAAACAAACATACAGCAGTTCCCTCCTCACCCCTCCAGTCTCAACTAGATTGATAAATTACTCCACTACACTACTTTAATTATGTATATGGTATGCAGAATAAATCACTGAACATCAGTACCTCAATCAAGCACTTTTAAATGATAATTGCATCTTGGTGAATCAATCTTTCCATTCCTGACATTTTGCTAATTTTAGTTTTACGGTGGGGTAATGGCACATGCCATACGCAAACCTAATGACAATTCTTTATTGCGCGAAATGAAGACAGCATCGCGAGCGGCGGCTCCCTGCTCTCCCCACGCTGCGGCTGAGAACGCTCGGAGAACCATCTCCGGCTGCAGCGCGCTCGCTCCCCGGGGACTCTGCGAGCCAGCCAGCAGGAAAGTCCTTCTAAAGTCGGGATCTTTCCTCTGACCAATCGGAGCGCGACCCTAATAGTTGCTCTTGCGACTTTTCCCCCGTTTGGAGACGCGTTAACCACTTCTTTCTTCCACCGGTCCGAGCGCTCCTGTTACTCACGCGTAAAAGCCACCGTCCAGGATGTCTGCAGCACTCGATTCCAGCGCGCTTTTCCTGCACGCCCAGAATACGCGGTTTTCGGCCCAGAAAGGTTCGAGGGCCAGAAAGCGTGCCGAAATACTTCCTATGTGTTAGTAATGTACAAAGCAATAAAAATAATTACCAGTTCTGAAATCTCGACTTCATCGCGGGGCCATGAACTTTCTAATCAGTTTAGAAATATTTACCGAGGCGGCAGCTTCCTTGGAGATTTCCCCCTCCCTCCTCCTACTTCTATCTCTTCCACACCTTACTGGATTTTATCCAGAGCATAAACATGTAAACCAAACCAACTTCCCAAATGCATTAGGCTACCCTATCCGATAGCTGATGACTTCACTTATCCTGAAGAGTTTCAGCTGCACAGGAAGCAGAAATAGAGACTGATAAGGAAGATACTTATGTTAAGGTTTAAGCCCAGTAAACACTTGACCTGACCAGGAAAAAAAAAAAAAAAAAAGGTTAATATTCAAGATTTAGGAAAGGTTTCTAGGGGTTAGGCACCTTCCCTCTCTAGCCAATTACACTACACCCAATAAAGCCAAAGATAAAATACATCAACTAGTACACAAACCATGAAAAGACAAGATTGCACGCCAGTGGAACTATAGATCATATAAACTGTGTGAATCAAATTAAAAATCTTTAATATTGTGAAAGGAAGAAGGGAAAATACATTCAGGAAATAAAAACGTTGAACGTACAGGAGTAGACAATAGGTGCATACTGAAATATCTAGCTAATTAAAGAGATTTCCTCACTTAAAAAAAATTCCTTTCAGCACTATGTGTTTAACCCAATGACTAGTTGCATTTCCTGTGAAGTTCTGCACCATGCCTCTAGACTATTTTAATGTGTGAGGACAGTGTGATTCAAAAAGCCTCCTGCTTCATTGTAGGGGCTATTTGATGTGAGTAGCTTTTCTTAGAAGAGTGGGGTCAACATTTAGGTGTCTGCCCCAAGGCTTCACTTGAAAGGAGAAGGTTGATTTTACAGGCAAGTACAACCAGATCTGAACAATCTTCAGGCTTCTGGCTCATCACTACTGTGACTATCAGCACAGCTAAGATGAATCTCTTGCTTTTATTATAGGAAAGTGTGGCAAACTGTCACAAAGCAAAAGCCATCTGAAATAGTATTATTTTTTGCAGATTAGTATCTACAGTATATTTGTTTGCCTGTTTGTTTTTCATCTGGTGAGTTTGCTACTACCATGAATTCATTTTAATAATAAGGCAGAGATAGTCTGTATCAGGTTTTCATTTAAGGTACAACTTCTAAAAAAAGAATCCAAAAATTTAAAGGTGCATAGTCATTTTGAATACTAAGATATGTCTATATATGGTGGGAAAATGAAATTAATTTTTTTCTAGATTCACAAATGCCTTGACAAAGCAAAACATTTGCAGGAACATATAAGTTTATTGCCATAATGCCTGAAATTAATGTAATGAATTGTAAAAGCCTATTTTACATGAGTGAATAGACATAGGCAATACATGACTCAATCATATTATTTTTGATGGATTATAGATTATTTCTATTTACCACAGTACACCTCAGTTTTAGATGATTTTCCCTCAAAAATAAATTATTTTACCTTTTAACATCTTAATGCATTATTTAATAATAAACATTATAACAAACTCATAATTATCAATGAGAGTACAAGCATTCAGGAATATGTATAACCCCACACTGTGGATACTTGGAAATAATTTGGATCCGAAATGTATCACAGTTGGCCTTTTAAAATATAAGATATTCCCCTCAGCAGATTTAGCTTCTTAATTATGTGTGACCTAAGTTAATATTAGCATGAGTTTCCTTCCCATGAGCCTTCATATTTGAAGCAGAACAGAAGAGGTTGTGCAGAAATATACAATAGAAAGTCACCGAGATTTAAAATTATTCATCGGTAATTCACAAAGTGGTTAATACAAAATGTGCTTTGTAGTCTTTAAATACTCTGGATTTTTTTTTTTTTTTAACCAAAATCATCCTGATCTTTACCACCTAATGGTACTTGGTTATATTATGTTTTCTGGTGTAGGGAGGAGCTTGTACTAGGTGTTAGGAGGCCTATATTCTCTGGTTCAAGATTTGTGCCTAAGTACTGCGTGTGTCTTTTCAGGGCTTCAGTTTGCTTGTTCATTAAATGAGTTATGTGAATTCTCCAATCTATTCCAGTTCTATGACTAGAAAGTAGAAAATTCTCACACCCTTTAAGCCAGTTGGACACTAGGGACCCACCATGTTAAATAAAAAGTGACAAATTGGTTAAGAGAAAATGATGTCTGAGATTCACAGACTATTTAAATAAACTTTTTTTCCCCCAATCACCAAATATTTCCTTCATTAAATAATTGTCATAAGCACTTTATTATGTATGTAAATATATATTTACTTGTCCCCCCCCCCAAAAGAATTGTTTAGCAATGTATTTAACTGAAGTACCACAGAAGTTACAGAGAGCATACTCCTTAGGACTTGACTCTAAGGAAAGCTAATTTCTAATTTCTGTTCAAGGTTGTATACCATCTTACTCCACCCTCCTCTCTTTACTACTTCCCTACATTAAATCAGCAGTCTACTAAATCCCTGTTCACTGGGTATGCCTGCTTTTAAGCTTGGCCCACGCTGGGTGTAGCTCTTGAAGTGAGCTTTAAAAAATTATTTTAAAGTAAGCTGGGGCGGTTGCCACAGCAACCCACCCTAAGATGAAGAGAGCCTATAGATTAATCTACCCCTCAAGATTATTCAACTGTATAGTATTTGTTCTTCAGCCAGAATACTTTAAACACAAACATGATAATTGAATATAGAAGTTCAGAAAAAATATAAAAAGTAGTAAGATACAAATTCCAATAGCATTAAAAATGTTATCTTTTTATAGTTACAATAGAGATGACATACATAACTTCCCCTGAATGGATTAACTGTAAAAGAGACTTGCAAAGGTAGGCCCTGCAAGGTGATATGTGAGCTTTAAGCAAAATGGCATGGTATTGCTTTTAATATAAAGCATATAATGGTTGCCATCACGCTTTATCACTTTTATGTGTCTACATTATAGATACCTAATGACAAGGAGTTTGGCAGTTTTACCTTTATGAATTAGCTTGGTGGTAAATGATATAACAAATGTTAAGCACTCACCACATACACATACAGTCATTTGCCTTCCATTCTTTACTTCATCTCTTCATAGAAGTTACTTCACAGTTTTCAACTCTTCTTTGGCACCTTAAAATGTGTAAGTACAACAAGGTAACAGTTAAAAACATTTTTTTTTAAAGAAAGCTGATATTAAAGTACATTCAAATAAATTTATTTCTAAAACTTCTAATCTGAAGTAACATCAGTATTAATTCTGATTTGAAAACAAATGAATGTATGTTAAAAACAAAATAATTAAAATGATCATTAATTGTGAAAATACTTATAGCCTTTAATATAAATAGTGCCAAATATCTAAATTTCAAAAATTCTTTAGGTACAGCTTTAGCCTATGCACAGTATACACCATATGGACTACTTGTGATTGAGAATCTGCAATATGCAAAGGATTTGTTATTCCAAGCCAAGGTTTAATCATATCCTTTATCTCATAT